TTTTTAATTTCTCTCAATTTGTAGAAATTGTCATAAAATGTTGCAATTATTTTATTTTATTGGAAAGTTCTCTCAAAAACCTCTTTTGTGGTCTGGGCACGGAATCCAGGGCCTCACACATGCTGGGTATGCACTCTACCCCTGAGCCACATCCCCAGTCTGCCCTTATGTCTTAACAAAAATAAGATGACCTGATTTAGAAACCTAATGCCTCTGTCATTGTTTCTCTTCTTTCTACATTGGCATTAAGATCATAAAAGCACTTCTTCCTTCAATGATAAAGAGAAATTACGGCCACATTGTCACAGTGGCTTCAGTGTGCGGCCATGGAGTAATTCCCTATCTTATCCCATATTGGTAAGTATTACTTGCCAGCAGTGCTATGTATTTCTGTACTTTTGAGTGATTATTAGTCTTTGAATTTCAATACTCACAGCATAGTAATTTGGAGTTGCAGAATTTGAAAAGTAAGTTAGAATAATTTTTTTAATGATTGTAATTTTATTTTAAATATCTTTGAAAATTTCTCTATAGAGTAATGTAAGAAAGCAGAAATACCAAGTATATTTCCATAACTTCCTGGAATAAAGAGATGTTGATAGAAGAAATCAGAAACACATAGCATAAGAAACAAAATATACACAAGTTAAAACGAATGCAAATCTATGGCATGGCATGTCTGTCCAAGATAAGCCAACCACAGTGGACTCTGCATCAAAACATTTTCCAGTGGGTGTTTGAATAGTGAAAGTTCATTTGTGCATGTGTGTGTGCTCACATGTGGTAGAGAGGCCTCCACCTGAGTAAAAACAATGCAAACACCACACCCCCAGGCTCTATTAAGGACATAAAAAAAGGAAGTAGGAGGCCTTCAGCATATACTGTTTGCAAAATATCTTTCCTTGTATACTCTGTAATGGTATCTCCCTTTCTTACTTCAGCTTTACATTAACCTCAGAAAAATCTCTACCAACACATGAGTATCAATGGGTAGGTGTGTGGGTTGTCAGTTAGTTGATCTATTATATACTTTATATATACACATTCAAGGTTAAATGAGTCAAGAACCAAATTCTCTCTGACACTGAATGCAGTCACAGATACAGTTAAATTTCAACATAGGGTAGATTGCTATTATACACACATATGGCTGTTCCAATCTTCCTTGATTATCTTAAAATGCAAATAAGAATTTCACAGATTAAATATTTCTGTTGTTTTAATATTTAGAAATGTAGAAACTCGATGTAATAATAGTTTTTCTTTCATTCTCCTTGGAGAAAACAACCACTATCTAACATTACTGTTTTTAC